GATCATGTCCGACGCGGGGTGGCGTCCCCGCGGCAGTTTGGGCACCCCGAACAATTGTTTTGTGTGCTCAAACTGTACACTGTGGTGGAACAATTGATTTTAAACATTGAGACATAGTCCTTATTCTAAAGAAAATCTCACTAAAAGAAAAACATATAATCAATTAAAAATACATAGGCTATAAACTACACAAAGCGATAAGAGAATTTAAAGAAATCAAAACCAGAAAACAATATAAAGATAAGTCTTTAATCAAAACTCATGCTCCCTCTTAAAGCTTATTCTTATCTTACTCTTATTAGAAATGTAATGACAGCAAATAGTTGTAGCTTATGTTTAAGTATAAATGTTTATTAATTTTTTTTTATTCATTTATTTAAAAAGGTTTATCAACAATTGTTGGCGCTAGATACTTCTTAAAGTTAAGTAGATAACTTAGGATTAAACATATATTAGCGTAACAATTACTTAAATATCAAATAGTATTTAAAATATTGACAAACACCTACAAAATTACACGTTATCTAACAATCTTAGCCCACACGGCATGATGCCAAGAACGGTAGCTGCATTTTAATGCTGAATAGTAATTACACTCAACCTTTGAGGTAGAACCTGCACTTTTATCACTAGCCTGGTTTTACACCACAGCCCCTGGTTCGATTTTACAACGATGGACAAACCTTATCAATATTTGATGCAATTTCTATATTGTATATTAGTATAACTACGATATTGCTTTTATATAACAAGTACTTCGCTTAAGCTGTCCTAATTTAAAAAATCAATAACATTGTAAAGAGGATTATTTACAAAGCTTCGTGTAATCTTTGTAACAAGTGGCGACATAAGGCGTTTTAATCAAGACGACCCACTTGTGTCTAGTCGTGATAATATGGGGTCAATACGGGGTTGAACCCTCGGCGGAACGGATAAGCGCCCCCGTCAATTGTTACAACTCAAGCCAGCGGTTTCCCTTGGTCTTGGGGCTTAGCTAACCAATGCGGACAACATGACTATAACGTCAATGTTCTTATAATATAGTTTAATAGGATACTAGACCCAATATTGTTCAAGTACGCGTCACCGTGAAGGAACATTTGAATTAATTCTTGATTGATTTTTGGGAATGCAGGCAAACTTGCCAGCCTTTGAGGTAAGTAGGCTCTTTTCTTGAATGTCCCTAAGTCGTGGTTCGGAAATACCATTTCTGACAATTGATTCCACGAAGTGCCTCCGCGTGGCAGAAAATCGCGTGAAAAACAAACAGTAGTTGAGTACTAATGTTATTTGTATTGAGGTGAAACTAAGCATGGTAATAATTCGAACAATTCGTCAGTGCACTGATATACGTATGTATTTGATAAAAATAGCCCTTCGTAAAGCCAAAGGGTCGAAGCGATCGGACAGGAAGCCGTCGTTGATGCTATGCGAAGCTGTCATCAATTTATATTATTTGACTGTTATTGAAAGTTAAAATTAAATATACGAAAAATGTACTGTAACAATAAGGTAATATTTTAAATTTATATGTGTGAATAATAAAAACCTAAAAATATTATGAAGGAAGAACGATTACTTTTTTTTAATTACGATTTATTTTTTACTACTTCTTTTCTTAACATGTTCAGTCATATACCGTTACGACGACATGATATTTCTATTCGGAGAAATTGTTAAAAACAACCGTAGAGTTATAACGTGATCTGCCCTTCGCAATGTTCATTTACCATCACTTAACAGGCTTAAAACAAACATTATGGCATTACGATTTAATTCGCAGTGACGCCGAACGGTACACGCTGGTATGTGCCATGCATAAATATACATATGTGTATTCAATCTCAGGCAGTAGGTAACCGGGGAACTCTGAAAACTGCATCGCCCGCTTGCTAATTGCTAAATTCGGCCGGACGTCCGTTCCCATCCCTCCCCATTGTCCCTCCAACCCAACTCCCCCCCCCCCCCCCCGGCCACCTGCGCCCGCCTGTCACCGGCCTATTGACGTTACTATACCAGCAAGGGTTTCCAAATTACCGAAAGTTCGTGAATACAACGTACAATTTTGAATATAACGAATTGAATAACATTGTAAGTGCGACGATTCTGTCATTCTCAATTGATTAGTTGTGTTGTTCGATCACTATGAAGGAGCACTTTTAGCTAGTACAGCATGACAAACAAAGCATGCAAATAAAACTTTTCAAGTAACACTACTAAATAGCTGAAAAGGAAGTTGTAGCTTGATTAGACTCGTATCAGAATTGTATTTAATCCGGGGTAAAGAAAAGTTACACCTTAACCCCTCGCAACTTACGAGGCTCTAAGGTCTAATAAAAATAACGCACAGTGCCATGACAATAAACGGCCATTATCCACTCTATGAGGAAGTGTAGAGTGGTGCAACGCGCGCGATAGAGCGTGAGTGTGGGCGGGCAGGCGTAGGGCGGGTGCCGCCGGCACGTGTAATTGTGAGGAAACGCGATCGACTTCGATTGCAATCCAATCGGAAGCGGTTCCCGTTAGCCGATCCACGGGCCTTTATTGTTATGTCCCGTGTTTGGATTATTATTAGACGCCTATTGAAGTTCGAGTCGTAAAGCCGTGGTAGAGTCGACTCTACACTATAGTTGATTGTTACAGAACTATTCGAAGCAAGTTGTCGAAGTCGTTTCTCTATTTTTTTAAAGAACAGTTACCATAAATTGGACGGGTTTCGTTTATTTTTTTCATTCGTCACTATTTGACGTCTTTTCCTTGCATACTGTGTTATATGTAATGAAATGAAGAAAATAAAAAAGTTATTGTTTCGTAATTAATTTTGAAGTAAGCAATGGTATTTTATATATACTTTACTTTTACATTACATTGGTTCGCACACTATAATCTATAAAATGTTATGCTATGTTGTGTCTCAGCTATGTTGAATCGGCGTTAGAGACGGTAAGCTTGTCACCGCTTACTAAGACTACAGAGAAATCAACCATGACTATTTTCTTAGATTTATATTCGAAGATAGACCGCGTCGCCACACAGCCTCACGGCCCAAGATTCATTTCAGCGCGTTCCAATTGATCCTAATGTCTCTCCGAACGCTAGACGTGTCTGCGTTTGGCTTTGATTTCACGAAAAAAGCTCGTAGACACACCACGATTGTTACTTCAAACGAACCGGGCGACACGCACGCCCCAACGGGGGGGGGGGGGGGGGGGGTTTGCGATGGGGGTGGCCCCCTGGATGCTATTATGTTAAATGAGCACTTTATCACATTAGCGTATTGCGATAAGAATGCGAGGCAAGACGTACAAACAAAGAAAATTGGTTTATGATTTTCATACGGTAATTATTAATGGCTCTACTCCGTCACTCCGTCCGTCACTTTTTCGTGTGTTTCCCCGCAATAACATTGGATATAATGAACGTTTTAAAACCAAATTAAAAAATTAGAATAATGATGTTGCCCGTATAGTGCCTTAGGAACTGGCTTCCTACAGTCTTTGGATCCGATGAAGCTTTACATTATACAAGAAAGACAAGAAAAATATGTAGAATGTAGAATAAGTAATTATAATCAGTATTAAGTTAAATTATTAAAACTTTAGTGCTTAACTTTTTCTAATGTACGTGATGTGTGTGATTTAATCCAAAAGCATTCGTAATTAGCAAGTTATTATCTGCCAACGACATTGCAGGAGAATTTTCGTTCAGCTGATTTAATTATTATAGTTAAATAAAGTTAAGTCTAACTTCCTGGTTTTCTTGTTTTAAGGTTTTTCCGTGTGTTTAATCCTTTTTGCAATGTTGTGTACATCTTTAATAGACACATATTCCCTGTAGCTAAGGGTGTGTTGCTGTTACTATAATTATAATGCTGTCGATTTACATTAATAAAATGAAATAAAGCAGACAAAACTGAACTGATTTAATTAGAATTGAAATATTCAACAACGTTACTATTACTGACAACTTTAAACTCTCCAGTATTACCGATATCACCCCCTTAGTAAATCCCATACAGTTCGATGTCGGGATATGGATTAGCAGCGATCGAGTTGCCGCTTATCCGGTTCAGGGCGTTCCTAATTACCGGCTATTGAGTTGACCCGGATAACCGGTGCATGCACCGCTGACGGACCGCGTGATGGATAAAATTTTAATCAAACGTGTACAGTATTATCATCGATATTAGCTGCAGCAATTCCATGGTTCTAAGATAGGCCGTTAATAAGAGAGTATTATTATTAGTTATTACAAATCTAGATTGTAGTATGTCCAAATATAAGAGGAACCGATAGTTCGTGTTTGAAAATTTATTGACATTTCGTAGACGGATTTTTTATTTAAACATTTTTTATTTAATCATCACAAATTTTATTTTGTTTAGTACTAGGCATTGTACTACTATTTGTTGTATTTTATACAACAAATCCAACTGTATTGCGATTTAATACAGATGGTGAAGAATTTCTACACCATCCTACCCTCCGTGTCATGTTAGGAGTAATCATAATGTATTGTTATTGTTTAATAAGCTTAAATTAAAAACTATCAAAACTAGTAAAATACTACGTCATGAGAATGTCATGAGATACGTTATCAAAACATTATATCCAAATATAAACATTCAAATAGCAATTTGTATAATATCGTTTCCTAATAGAAAATTACTTCATTCTATTCAATAATATTCAATAATAATAATAATAATAAAATAATAAAATATCTTTATTCACATAGACGCTTGCGCGTTCTTATGAAACGTCAAAATTTTACAAGAAATTAACACGTTCGTAAGTTACGTAATGTATTGTAGTGTAATATCCTATTCAATAATGTAACCGAGAGCTTCAATTGACTTGTTTTCTGTTTGACCCGATTAAGCGTGTTGTTCATTTGACCCGTTACAATGTGGTAGAGTAGGAACAAAAAACAGGAGCGAAACAAAGATATCAGTACCGACACAAGCATATAAACGCTGGTGTTCCTCAAACAAAACGCACGCAAAAAGACTAGCCGCCGACTCAAGAACGATCCGCCATGGCTCGCCGAAGGGCGGCGCTACTGGAAAAGGAAGCTTTTCTCCAAACAACAACCACCGTAATTTGATACGAGCGGAAATAGCATCAACACATCACTAGTTAAGATTTAAAATCGAGTGGCCGGGCGCGTCGCTTACCGCACTCCGAATCGCTCCCTCGGCTAAGAAGTGGCCAATGAGCGGGCGGTCTCCATGGCAACTGGTCGCGGCGCGGGCCCGCTAGATGGCGCTGGCAGTACCCCACGGTGGCGAAAGGTGTATTGAATGGCCCCCACTCGTGGGTAAACAAAGAAGCACTCGCTCGACGCGGCATCGTCTTCGGCACGCAGACGGTTAATCATTAGCATCGTACCTACAAGGTTCGCTGTCGCAATTATCGATGATTTTAATGATTGCTACGAGAGGCGTCGGTGCGCTGGCTTTGATTTACTTTGTTCCTGTGACATAGTGTTTGTGGAGATTTAGTAAATAGGAATACACGTTCATACATAAACGAATGTGTACTGATAAAAATATAGTATGCTGTACCTCATATTAATTGTGCATTTATACTAATCACCCAAAAAATTTTTTTTATGTTTTCTCTGTTATGCCCGCTATGTTTGCGAATATTCCTAATAATGTAGTGTAATGCATATTACAAAATACTTTTACATTATATTAAGAAAATTTCAATTGACGTTTATTATATATCTACATATTTGATTATTAATAAAACGACACCACCGGTGGACTAATTAGCGATGGGTGTGGATCGAACGGACGATGTGCGTGCGATTGTTAATTACGCGGCCGGTTATGAATAGGAGAGGCACGGGAGCTGCGCTGGTGGCGAGTAATGAAGCGCGCCTCGCCGGAATTGGGGAAACCTAATCCAGCGGGCCATTATACCGAAAATTGAGCCGTCGTCGCCCGCGACGCACGCGCACACCGCAATCCGCACCCTAATCCCAGCGCGCTAAGATACATTTCGGGAAAGCGGACGTTGAGTTTTCCCGCCGAACAGTTCGAGTGGCGATACACTGTATGCGGCGCGATTAGAGTTTGCTTTGCGTTGTGGACGGCGCGCGCTGCGAGGGAGGCGGGGGTTACGCAAGGGCGCAGAAGGGAGTGGGTAGCGGGAGAGGGGGGGGGCTGTATTTGTGTTTTCCCCGCAGTTTCCGAGGGTAGGCGCGACACTTGAGCGCCCGTTGTGTGTAACTGACGGACGGAAAAACTATTAATGGTAATGACGGCCGTAGCTAGGAGTAATTATCACGTAAGTGTACACCTGCGTATTGTTGAGGCGCGACCGCGGTCTGCGCGCCCGGTGGGCCCCGTTCGAGGCGAAAATTGCGAGTCGAGCGCTCGCGACGCCCGCTGCGGAAGTGTTTACTTATATCGCGCAATTGTCGCGATGGGATTGACGCCTTCGAGGGGTCGTCGGTTCAAGGCTCGCGGTGGGTCACCGGCACGAACCCTGTTATCCAGTGCGTCATAAGAAGGAAACCCGAAGGTTTCTATAAGATTATCATAGAACCTACCTAACGGTCAGAAGTCAACGGTACAAGCTCTATTAACCGTAATGAGAGAAAAATGAATGAGAAAAAGAGAAAAAAAATAACGAATCGTGGTAGGATTCGCCTCTGTGTCGTAAGTCCGTCCTAGACCTTTCAATACATCTCTATCCTGTGCCTTCTGCATCCTATGAGATCCACATCTATGACTGAAAATGTCTCTCTATCTTTTACTCGGACTACATAAGAGGAAATTCCTTTCTGTCCCTCCACACTGTTAAACGTTTCGTAGATCTATTATAAATACTACATATAGGTCCTGTCTAGTGCCATTTCATTCTCCTGATCTCTTAAATGGAGTCCGAGTTACCGGAGTATTTATAGACACTATCCGAGATTAGGGCAGTTTATTATTAAATAACGCTGCATATTTAACAAATCGTTTTACAATATACGGATTCAGCCGAATTATTTACGAGATCTTCGTAATACTACCCACCGTATGCTATAGAAAGTACCTGTCTTGAAACACAAAACAGGATGGATAATCAGTTATACAGATATAAGATTATGCAAAGATCTTCTAATGACATAATGCGATTCGCAAGTACAGCTATTAGAGATATTTTATCCAAAGCAATACATGATTTTCTGTACAATAAGCAAAGTTTACAATATGTATATTTGCCTACAAATATTCAGTACAGAGGAAGTTTATTTATTTATTATATTGACTCTTCAGTTAAGCACCTGCCATCTTATTTTCACCATGATAAGGGTTGACTGCTAGAGAATGCCATTAGGCATTAAATCCGGCCATTGTAGCCCTTAGGTTATGGTGTAACAATAAAGTTTTAATTAATAAATAAATAAAAGATAAAGCGATAGTATTTACAACATAGGAGGGGGTTGGAATCCCACTAGATGGAGTGGGGATATGTGCAAGTGTTATTGATGTTTTTTTTGTAAGAATTCGGCAAACGAGCTGGCGGTTCACCTGGTTTTTTTTTTATTTTTTTTTATTTATATTTTGTGTTATATGATAACAGCCACCCATTAACATTTGCAACACCCGTAGGGTTGCAGATGCGACCCTATAATAAATTGGGCCCCGGCTACCTCACTCATCAGACGAAACGCAGAAGTTTAAAACCTCCACTCCACGCCGTTCTTCTGTTAGGTCGTGGTACTTACCCGGGCGGACCTGCCTATTCATGCAACAGAGATGACTGTTGCGTGGTTCTAACAAATGGTTAAAGGTTCAGGATCGTGCTTTGTGACGGTCTGTGCCGGAGGCCTTTGTTGAGCAGTGGTCTTAACAGGATGAAATGATGATGATGATAATAATATTTGTAACCTCACATCAATTATGGAGTGATGACCTGTGCAAATGTGCGGGAAGTCGATGGATGTAGGTGGCTCAGGATCGTACTTCGTGGCAGTCTATGGGGGAGGCCTATGTTCAGCAGTGGACTCAAACAGGCTGAAATGTTGACGTAGATGATCAAGTATGTTTGAAAATTACCAAGCTTTACATAGCTTAATAATTTGTTGACTATAGCATATATACATGTCAATTCAACTCCGATCCTGCGGTTGTGGCTTGAAGATACAAACACACACACATATTTTAGATGAAGAGATTATGAGTGAAATTATGGATGTATGACGTAATTTGTTAACCTCTCCGTCTATTTTTAATTACAAATTTCTAATTACATTGTTTACGGTGGTAGGGCCACGCAACAGTGTTCACTGTTGCACGAATGGGCAAAGACCGGCGTAAAGTAGAAGTGTTGCACTTCTGCGTTTCGTCTGATGAGTGAGGTAGCCGGGGCCCACATTATTAAGAGGCAGCGACGGATCTGCAACAGTGTTGCAAATGTCTAAGGGCAGGCGGTTATCACTTAACATCAGGTGAACCGCCAGCTCGTTTTCCACTTTCTCACATAAAAAAACCAAATAAGCAGCCACTAGCGGGAACCTACTTTAAAACTTCTGTATTGTATTGTATTTTGTATTGGTAAGCTCATTATTTAATGAAACTGCATATTTGTTATGAATGTTGTGCATCATCAATTTAAATCACTATAAAAACATCTGCCGTGGCAGCGTTCGAGGGGTGGCGTCTCTCAAGCCTTAAGAAAGGAACTGAATCCAGTTCGAGGGACAATTGCCAACAAAAGGCACGCTGTGAACGTTTCCTTCCGAAAATCTGTTCGTGTATTTCTTGCGCAAAGTATCGCGTTGCCCCGCCCGGGTGTCGAATTCACTACAACACCGATTTGTGGGTTGTTGTGACAGCCCTGTCGAAACTACACGGGATATTTGCCAAAACTAAACGTGAAATATTTTTTAAAGCATCGATTTTACTGTAGGACAAATATTATCTAAGTTCGTAAGTACGTTTTATGTACATAATTTTCACGTGGACAAACACCCAAATCCGAAAAAATTGACTGTGCGTCGTAGAATAAGTTGTCTCGTGTGGGGGAATCCAACCCACAACTCCCGAGGACGAAGACAATATCTTGGCAACTTCACGTCGGCCTCATCAATTAATCTCTCCTTTCCAAATTTAACATTATGGAATGTCAAAAAATATGCCCAGCAATAAATATTGATATATACAAACAGACGTAATAATATTTGAATACGTTGTAACAATTCCTCTTTTACTTTTACGGAATTGGATCATGGTATACCTATTGTTTTTAACGGTTAGTTAATAGTTAATCCATGAATGGTAAACCAAAAACTTTATGTAACTTGAATGTGAATTGAAAGAATTTATTGTGTAAATATGATGTGATTGCCAAAGATGTACTCTTTCTCTCAATTACATGTTTATTTTAATACTCGCATAATCTCCAGACCTCCCCTTCTAATCTCTTCTCCATAATGAGATAAATTATGATCTTGTTAAGAGTAATACGGGAACTTTATTAAGGAATAGTAATTTAAAGAACGGTTTCGGAACGGAATTTGTGATAGAGAAGGATATGTCTATAAAAGAGGTCCATTTAGTTTGGGACAAAGACAGGATAAAAGTAGCAAAAGGAATAATATGTTTTACTCAGTGGCCAGTGTTATTCTACCATCCCCCTTGACGATAATTTCTACGAGCCTCTCTCGAAACACGTTAAAATAAACTTTATCTAAATGAAGTACTAGCCCTACACAGTAAGATAAACTATCGCGTGCTAACACGTAACAACGTCGATCGGGACTTATCCTGTTTACTGAGCGATGCGGGCCCGTCTGCGTGGTCACCGCGCCCTAAGTGCAGCCGATCGCTTTGAGTCGGATATCGGCGGGGAATCGAGTTACTCGGCAATTGACGTGGATCGACGTGCGCCGCATAATGGGCGTTTTTGTTGGCCCACCGCGATCCGAGACGGGCGGGTTTTTTTCTCTCCTCTCCAATTCCCTAATCCAATTATGCGCTCATTCTTCGGGCAAATTGCCCGAGCACAATGGCTCCAGGAGTCCGCTGCTCCTGACGATTTGCGACTATTGAGACGTTGCGCGTTTGACGAGGAAGTGCTGCAAAACAGTCTATGCTGTTGCATGAATGGGCAGGTCCGTCCGGGTTAGTACCACGAACTCACAGAAGACCGGTGAGAAGTAGAAGTGTCGCGCTTCTGCGTTTCGTCTGGTGAGTGAGATAGCCGGGGCCCACTTTATTAAGAGGTCGCAACGCATTTGCAGCCCTAGGTGTGTTGAAAATGTCCATGGGCAGGCGGTTATCACTTAGCATGAGGTGAACCGCCAGTTCGTTTGCCACTTTTTCACATAAAAAAAACTTTTAAGGCTTCCGCAAATGAGACTCGCGCCTCGCTCGTAAGGGTAAGCGCAGGTTGAATCAGTACTTTTCCTGACCATAACACACCTCTCGCCCCGCGTATACACGGGGGTAAGCAGGAAGGAGTAAACACGCCACTTTATTTGACCCTAACACACCTTCGTATTACGATCTTCTTCGAAATGGCAATGCTGTTCTAATTGCATATTCTAGTGGGTAGGTAGATTTTTCTAGCCCTATGACATTTTTTTAATAAAAATTATTAAAAAAATTGTCATAGGGCAGTCTACTACATGTAATCAATCGTGTTTAAGACAACTCAGTGTAACATTAGAATAAAGCAGTAAATAAACAATAATTAGGTGTCAATATTAAACTGTTTTACGGATTTTATCCCGTTTATTTTAAACTTAAATTCCCAACGTTTTGGATACTTTGGAGCACATATGTTCACCTGACGGAAATAGTCTTTTAGGTCATTTTATTTAATGATGTGTATTGTTTACATAAATATAGGAAAGTATTAAATAATTAATATTAAAAATGGTCGAATTTTCGAAATCTATTACATTATATATAGATAAATTTATTAACACCTTTATTGTAAAGGAATAAGTAATTATACAATTTGTGCATAACAAACAGTGAATTAATTGCAAACAAAAACAAGTTATTGCAAACTCGCTACAATAATCAATGTCTTTATATATTATCCACCCTCAGGTACAATCCCTAAATTCTAACCTGAAGGCCAATATAGCGGAACGGAAAGCATGATTGTTGTTACAAGAAATTAAACATTAAACTTATCATGAGAGTGGTTAGTTATGTTCAAGAAACTATAAAAACGGTAAAAAGAATGTTGCAGTATACGTTTACGGAAGAACAGCGTCGCCGTCGCTCTGACTGATAAGATATTATGCTTTTGGTCATTTTTAGTATATATTATTCGTTCCTGCAAAGTTAGAGTTTTTACCTTACAGGTCGTCTTTTTACCTGCTGCCAAAGAAGGGTATTGAATTTAGAACGTATGTAGGTATGTATAACTCTTAGACTTGTTCTACAACCTAAATCATTTGACGGAGTTCAACATATAGTGTCATTATTTCAATAAATGATAAATAAATAAATGGAGGATTAATAATTTAGTTAGTATTTCATATTTCACTGACTGAACACAAGAACGCACCGCTGTGGCTGTGTTTTTTTTTTCGCTTCTGTTGGAACTACGGAATAGCAAGTAGGTATACAAAACAGTCTCGTGTTCGATAGCCACGTTGAAAACAAATGTCAAGTCAATCCATTGGCTAGTGTTTGAGTTTAGTGCACACAAACATACGGAAGCTAAATTTGTGTATGTAAAGAAGATTTATCCTTGTCGCTGCCTTTGAATTCTTCACTTACCTGTATCCTGTCTTCTGGCAGGTCGGTCTTCAGCGACAGCATCTCCCGCGCGTACACGTCGGGGTAGTGCGCGTCCTTGAAGGCCTTCTCCAGCTCGTCCAACTGGTAGGAGGTGAAGATCGTCCTGCCGCAGAAACAGAACGCAGAAGGGTAGACGTGGATAACGCAGAGGGGGTGGTCGAAAGAGTGATCGACTATAACGATATAACGAAAAGCAGAAAGTTATAAATAAAAGCGAGAACTGCAGGAGGGCAACGCAACAGTCTTTTCTGTTGCACGAATGGGCAGGCTAGTCCGGGTAAGTACCACGACCTCACAGAAGACCGGCGTGATGTGGAAGTGTTATATTTCTGCGTTTTGTCTGGTGAGTGAGGTATTTGGAGCCCAGTTTATTAACATTTGCCACCCTACTTGTGCGGCAAATATCGGAGCGGCGGTTATCACTTAACATCGGGTGAATCTGCAGCTAGTTTGCCACCTTCGCATAAAAAAATGAATACTGTGGCAGCTTGTGGCCACGCAGCAGCTACTGCTGTTGCACGAATGGGCTGTCTCGTCTGGGGACTACACAGCTCTATTATTTAAGGCCAGAAGGTCGACGTGAAGTAGTTAATACTAGAAGCATTTATCATAAGGGATGCGAACCATTTTCTTACAGAAAACTTTTTCTTCAATTAATTTTCTTTTTTTGTGTAACTGCCTATATTTGTTCCATCGCTCAGCAGAGGCAGGCCTTAATATCTTCTACAGATGGCACTAATCCCGCCATGCATTTCCCATCGAAACTTTACATATCTTCGCAATATTTTTTTTTATTATTATTCCGAAAATATACAGATTTCGTCACGATGTTTCCATTCTTCGAAGAGCACCTGTATTTAAGCAGCAAGCTAAAATCGCAATTAACAATTTCATTGGTGCTGACACCGGGGTTTCAACTCAAGTTGCCTGAGTTTATTGAATTTAAAGCGAGCACCCGGACACTTAGCTGTCACGGCAAATGGCCGATGATTACTCCAACACTACACGTGATAATTAAAACTGTTTTACGAGAGTAAGGTCAAGGGGTAGACCATTTACCGAGATAGGAAATCGCTTGCTTAGTTGAATAAAGTTTGCATGACTTCGTGTTACCAATGTCGGTGATTTAAAAACAAATAAGTGCCCGCTTGTTTGCGGCTGCTAAGTCTTTGACTCCAAATTCTATGTTAGCCGCTACGTCAATATGGTAATTATAAACATCACATTTAATTTGATTTAATTAAAATCGTTATAGGTTTTGACGATCCAATTGGCGTAGAGGATAGTGACCCTGTCTCTAGAGCCAGAGGGTGTTCGATCTCAACTACATGAAAAATATTGTGTGATGAACATAGTGTTTTTTTAGTGTCAAGGTGTTCATATATCATATGCTCATATATGTATTTATTTACAAAAAATACGTTTAAGTAAATGTATCAGAAACTTACACGTATTACATAATACAAGTTGTACAAAAAAAGTTTGGGATTACATAACGTTGTGTAGAAATATGTCCCGAAAAAAATCTTATAGGTAACTGTAGCACCCACGTATCTGCTTCTAGTTGCACGAATGGGGAGTCATTTGGGAAAGTGTCACGGCCTCACAGAAGACCAGCGTGAAATAATTATTATACTACCGCATTCATCTGGTGAGTGAGGTAACGGGCGCCAGCTTTTAAAAAGGTTTTTAACGCATCTACATGCCCTCAGGTATTTTAGATGTCCATGAGCGGCGGTTATCACTTAACATCGGGTGCTCGCTTGCCAAATTAACACATAAAAGAAATAGGGACACGCTTACGAAATGGTGACGATGGTCAGCAAGTTAATTACGTCGTCTTTTTTGAAATTAACATTTCCAAATGCCCACACTAAATGGGCATCAATTTTAAGTGACCACGCTTCTTGCACTTTGTGAATGCACGAATACGAAAGACCAGACTTAACCTACTTTGAAATGTGTTAATTGAAAAGTTTCCCAGCATGCGAGACATTAATTATCTCAGCTTTATGCGAAAGCACTTGCCATTCAAAAGTTAATTAACGCTTTAGCGTGTTTAGAATATTGAAGTGAAAAGTGCGTCATAGCCGTTGGCTTACGAGAAAATGGTTTTGTTCGTGTCCGTTGTTAATTAGCAATAACAAATGAAAAAAAGGATATTTTTCTATGAGGAAAGCTGGCAAAGGATTCTGGCAAACTAACACAGCAGAAATGTAGTAGCATACCGAAGCAAGAAAACTTATTCGCTGTATCAAAATAACGAACTGAATTCTTTCTGGAGCTACTGTGCAACACACGGACCCATAGATGCACACCTTAATCTCATAACATCCTTCTTTTTTTGTCGGGACTTAATAAAAATTGTAGTTCTAAGCAAATAAGATTTAATGTGTCACAAGGTAAAAGGATAAACATATTTACACATAGCTTGTAAGACACAGACTTTTAGTAACAAATCTTTTATTTTATGTTTTGTTTTTGTAGTATTGAAAGATTTTTCGGCTCTTGTGACTTTTCATTGCGATGTATATTTCTCCTTTAAACCTGCCTTCTATGAAGTTGCATACATCCCTGAAGAAGTACAGACACCGACATGCAATAGCCAAGCTATTGCATGACTTTATACGACTCTAATGTGACCCGGCCACATTAATGAAGTAAATTTTTTTACTGTATTTTGATGTCATTGCAACTGTTTATATGATAATCCACTCCATAATGATCTTCCTTAATTTCGAGATAGTAAATTAATTTCGATAATAGAAATATATTTAAACGGAAAATAAAAAAAAATAATAAATTCCAATAGATACTTATATTTCAATAAAAACATCCGCCGGACAGCTCAGTTATTGGGCGCAGTGATTTTAATTTTTTGATATTTATCACGTGTTCATCACTAGAGTAAAACATCGCGACGAAACCAAATGTTCTCTAAATAATAACGAAAATATTTATTTTGATGATGCGTGTACTAGTCGCGAGAAACGTTGGTAGCATTCGGTAGTTTACATATAATACAAGCTCAATGATCTGACGAGTAGAAGTTAAGTGATACAGTTCAAGTGTGTAGTTCACTAACAAAATACGAGTATTTTCTTAAATATTTGCAACAAATAAACTTGTTGAAATGTATACGGTGAATGATCCATCAATTAGCAGTAGATTAAAATTTTGTTCGACGTTATAAATAAATATAAAAAATGTATTTTAAGGTGTAAATGGTTCTGGTAGTTACCTATGTCTGCGTTTTTTCTTTTTCTTTTTGCCGTTGTAGCCGGTGAGGCCGTCGACGGTGAAGTCTTTCGCCGCTTCCAGAGACGATACTCCTGTTGGAGGATACACAGGTGTTATAAGAGCTTTGAATAAAAAAAAATATATTGAAAAAAAAAAAAATCATGCTGCATGAATGTTTCTCCTGCGTTTTACGAGCGAACTTTGATTTACGAGAAATGTGCACCACGGTCCAGTTTATGCTCGCTTCTTCGGCCCCGTTGATCTAGTAGCAGAAATTAAAATAAAAACTTAAAGTACGTATATCATTCCAAATGATTATATTCCTGTAATCTGAAACCTGCAAGTTAAAGAAATATTTTGTTTTAAAATTGATTTTCATTGTAGTGCGTTGAGGTTTACCAGTTTAGAGACAGAGAAACGGTCATTTATTTTTAGACATCCTATAAATAGTAGTTACGACTTGGATTCTGAAGTTTTAAATTTTTTGAATTGATTTTAAAGACAAACGCTTAAATTTTATTATCGGTATAGGTATTACATCAGACTAAGCTCGTAGAATGTGATAATATTGAAAATTGCGTTCATTTAAGAGATTGAAAACCGGAGTAACTATTGAATAATTGGATGAAGCAAGACGTTTTAGTTAATCTATAGTTAATATATTACTATTAACTATTGTTAGGACATTAATAATAGTTAAAAAAGGCTACGGCAATTGGTGTTGTGAAAATAATAAACACGTACCTAATACCCATAAAATTCGAACTTTATTCTTTACCTTAAAGACTATCGTACGGAATAAAACTTGTCGTCGTTAGACATACTCGTTATATACGAGTATTCATAGGTATGGAAAAAATCATTAAATTGAAGGTTCGTCGAACCGTAAGTACAACTCTCCTATTCAAACGAGCTTGGTGTGGGGAGTGAAAAGTAAAAGTTTTTAATTAATTCAGAAGTTAATAGTTAAGTCCCTCACTATCAAACACTAAACTCTAATTCTTTGACAACTAAAGACAATGTTGTCTACAATGAAAGTTTGAAAGAAGTAAGTAAAATAGTTATACTACTCCTTTCCTTTTGTAAAGAGTATTGAACATGTACTGGTTTAATATTCTAAAATTGCATTTAAATACTCTAAAAATAAAAAGCGAATCATTCATATAACCACAATGAAAAACAAAATAGAAAAAGCATTAGCTTATTACTAAAAATACATTTTAAGGTATAATTTGTATTCAAATTTTGGTTAAATATTAATAATTAATGAAGTGTTAAATGTTAATAACTAATGGCGATTTTGATCTGTTTCATGTGGTTTATAATACTATCATGATATAATATACAAAAAAGCACTACTAACATGTATGAACGATATATTTGACGTGACGAATAAAATTTTGTTCGATTTATCACCGCATTGTCCAATTTTTAGACGATAATGCATCATATTTTTAGAGTATTTGTATACGTTTATCGGGAAATATTAAAACAATATTATGAAAATAATTAGGCTAACTAATTTAAATATCGCTATCGGCAGAATGAATAAGATTATTATAAAGGCAAACATAATGGCATGTCACACTTTATTAGTAATCCCGGAGCGAGCGCTGTTCCCAACAGTTTGTCCGGGGATTGTCACATAATTACCGAATGTGATTGCCGCCTGAATTAGTAAGCAACGTCGGGTTAATAGAATGGATCGGGCGCGTCCCGGGGGAGCCCGGGGGGGGGGGGGGGCGAGACCCGGGGGACGCCCCGCGTAATTGAATTTGGTGCCAATGAATACGACAATGAATTATTAAATTTGGAGCGGTTCCGTCGTCTCACCCCGCACGTTAATACGTCGTTGAGTAGTTACATTGCTCGTCTAGTCACAGCCACCGTAACTATTCGGTGTTCGATTGGCAATGGAGTTGCTTCATGGTGTAATTTGCGATGGTGCTGCGTCCGCGTGACGAATCGCGAACGACATTGTTTCGTGGGGGCCGCGTTCGTTGGTTTGCAACGAGGTCAAGACACGTGGTCATTGTGCATAATCGATCGGGCCGTTTGGCAGGGCTGAGTAAAGAATTGTTATTCGTAGTTCAGTCACGCCAGAGTTTAGAGATATTATAATGAAATAAAGCAACAAAGCTAAATGAAAACTGACGAACAAAAACAAAGTGAGGCTAACTGCGGATCTAAGAAATTTTTAAGATAATTTAAAACACACACACAACTCTTGGCGGGCTGTACTGGTATGTGAAATATTTAATCGCCTCTGTTTTATTTAATGTACAGAGGTAGTCTTCGTGTAAAAGTGAAATGTATATAGCATTAGGGCTGTGACTCCATATCAAGTTATTAGACAAATGCTTCAATAAAGAACTAGAAAGTGGACATCACCGTGGACAATAACTGCTCATCTTCACACAGACTGACGCCAGAATTATATATAACTAGCGACCCGCCCCGGGTTCACACGGGTGCAATGTATTTATACATATAAACCTTCCTGTTGATTCACTATATCTAGAAAAAAAGCCGCATCGAAATCCGTTGCGTAGTTTTAAAGATTAAATCATACATAGCGGCAGAAAGACAGCGGGACGAATTTGTTTTATGCTATGTAGTGAAGTCACGAAATAGCAGCCATTGTGAAACTTCTAGCCACGGGCTCATTCTGGATGAAATAGAGTTTTATGCAATGTAAATTGGGTTGGAGTTTATTTGTTATAACATCTTTATGATGGGTTTTTTATGTGAGAAAGCGACAAGCGAGTTGGCGGTTCACATAATGTTAAATGATAACCGCCGCCCATTGACATTTGGAACACCGTAGGGTTGCAGATGTGTTGCTACCTTTTAAAAAAGTGGGCTCCAGCTATCTCGCTCACCAGACGAAACGCAGAAGTATAAAACTTCCACTTCCGGTCTTCTGTGAGGTCGTAGTCCTTTCCCGGACCCATTCGTGCTATAACGTAATAAAATTTAACCATGCATTATTGTTAAAACTGTACTACTCTGAATTAATATCTCCCTATATTTCTGAAGAAACCAGAAGAACCGCGTTACAAATGTTGTATAATTGATATCGGAATTTATCAACTCCACTGAGAGTTCAATTGTAGAGTTCCGTCATAAAATTGAGAATGGAAAAGAGAGGAATAACGCGATATAGACTATAAAGTAATGTACAATTCACGCGACGTTATTTACGTCGTTAAAGTACAGTCGTGTTTAGAAGAAGGTTTAGATATTATAATCGGGTCATTACGCGGTGCGACCGCACCAGCCAATGGGTAATGTATGCGTTACCACGCACCACCCTGCCCGCTGACAGTGTACCTTATACAACGTGCGATAGGGTCTAAAATCGAGCGGCGGGGCATAATTGAAATGGGAGGGCCTCCGGTAGGGAAGTGAAGCCCTCGGCGGAGGAAAGCTACTTGTAGGAGAGAACAGCGCCACTTTAGCGACCAACATTGTTAGCAGGCACGTAATAACGTAAACATGAACACGTACGAGCAAGCCTGCTCTGATAGCGCTACGTTTGCTCGATATAAGCCGTCAGTGTTATAATAGCCAAGGGGTTTCGTTAAATTCGAAAAGAAAACATTCTTCATCTTCGAACTTTGAATAAATGCTGCTCGAATGCTTGGATCTTTCGTTGATTTAAAGATTTATTATTGCGATGAGATAATTCTGTTAGGTTTTTTTTAATTAAAGGAAAACAAATAAAAAAAAATATTCTTACTCCTGTCCTTCAATCACGTTAACGGTATTGGTTAGGTTTTTTACGACAGGGAACAGTTTCCCTTCTTGCGAACGAACATCCAACTAAAATTATTTGTGGGTCACACAAATATTTGTACCATGTGAGAATTGAACCCACGATCCCCTGTACCGCCGATAGTAACTTCACCACCGAGTAAAAAAAATCATCTTAGGTTTAATTACTTATTACGTTTAACTTACTTAATATTTCTTCAGATAGGAATGGAGTGGTACTCTTCGATGGAAGAAATATTACTGTGCTTACAAAGCCTTACTTAATGAATTTATCTAGGCAGGAGGAGATTGGTAGAGCATCCGATGAAACTCCCGACGGGCCTGGTTAAGATATTGTTCAGGAAACACAGAGTACAAACCAAAGTGATTCATTTTTTAACAAGCATAGAGCAAGTTATTTGCCAATACCATTTTAAGAATGAATATGTCCTAAATCATTCTACTGTTGCTTTACTCGCATTCAAAGATAAATAAAAATATAGTATATTTTAAAGCTCTATTGCTCTATCTATTCTTGATATTGTATCATTTTTCATGAAATTACCGTTTTAGATAAATCAAAATAATTTTATAATCCCGTAAACACTATGACCTGCACGCAAATACCCTTTATTTGTATCAGCAAGATCGTATGGTGATTAGTTTCGAAATTCGCTACTAGATGGCGATAGCAGTTACGGCGAAACGATAACGTTTGTAAGTTTAACTTTAAAAATACATGTTTTGTAGCAAAAATATGTAACAATTCAATTATTAAGTGTTAAGAAAGTCTAACTAATATGGATAATACAGTAGTTTATTTAAATTATTAGAAAGAATCTTTAAGTAAAAATTTAAATCTATTTTCAAAATGTTCAACTCTCAGAACGGTTTGAATTTTTTATAAAAAATAAAACTTAACATTTTTCTTTGAAGTAAAATATAATGAAACGAGGTCACCACGAAAGTTTCACCTTCGCAACTTTCTATTATATTTTGCAATATTAAATTAAGATTGATTTATTAAAAATCAATTAATAGACTAACGGTCTATAAGGAATTAATTATGTAAATCAATTCACAATTCATTGATTCGTTGATTGAAAGAACAATGAGTTGAAGCAAATTAGTTTGTATAGCTTTTAATTAATGTCTATCAAAATATCTCCTTTACTGGCTAGTAAGTGGGATTATTAATGGAGTCATACTCCATTAAAAGATTTTGGTCTCTCATGTTATTAAACTAATCTATTTAATAATGTTTTCTATGATAGTAAACCTCTTATCTTTCTATAAGTAAATTCTATGAACAATAAAATACTCAACTATCAGGAATATCTAAAATAATTTTTAACGAAAAAAAAAACCCGACTTCAATCAAAAAAATAAAAAAATTGTTAATACTTATAACATTCAATGATGGATTAATCGATTTCTCTGGTATGCCATCATCAAATCCGTTTGTTTGTTTCCTTCATGTTACCCTTGGGATATCTCCTTTCCGACAAAAAAAGAATCATCGAAATCGGTTCATAAGCGACGAAGTTATCCACAAACACACATAAAAAAAATATATACGGTCGAATTGAGAAACTTCCTCCTTTTTTTAAGTCGGTTAAAAATAAAAGATCATTACATTTATCATACACACAATGTGAATTATAAAGATGTGATGATACTTTATGTTTCAATGTGAAGTTTTTTTTATTAGTTTTACAAATCATGAAATTAAAACTATATCGAAGTCTTGTGAACAGCAATATAAATTTATCGTAAGAAAAAAATTATTAAATTAACTGAACAGATCAGAGAACTATTTTACCAAATGTAATATTTTAATCACTTCATATAATAATTAAAAGAAGGATTAGAATTCGGTATTATCTATTCATATTATCAAAATGTAATTGATTGTTGTTTGTACATGAAAGACATTTGAGAAAAACTATTGTCATTAGGTTATAACTATTATTATAACCTTTATCAACGCAATAGAACCCAAAACGATGATTGTTATAATTTTTGCCTGCTTGTCTGTGCGTTTGTGCGCGCTGAACCCGCTGAAACTGTCCCGTTTTACCACTTCCAATGTACGTTGGTCTCAGAACTATTATCATCTGCCATCTGTCATACGAGTATGTAGTAACCTTGGCTGCGGCACATAAAATCATAAACCATAATCTGGCTCGCACTGGGCATATTCAAATATCACAACTTTCCGAAAAAATTATGTGTACAACTATTTTGTACTGTTAGAATGACCTTGAACCCAGCTTCCTTAGGTTCGATTTGCCCCTGGATATGCTAAACAGGAAATTGAGCCAGGAACCAAGGGAAAGCGGCGGGTCGATATCGACCCGACCTGCACTATAAAGAATTTTTTGTAGTGATGGGACGGACAAAAATAAGAGGATATCAATAATAATATTGTAAAACTGAAGAGTGTTTGTTTGAACTCGCTAAAAGGGACTACAGGTCCAATTTGAAAAAATGTACTAATAGATAGCCCATTTATTGAGTATGGGTGTATAGAGGCTACTTTTTAGGCACGATATAAAATGTAGTACAGCCGTTTGCGAAAAGCTAGTTTTTAAATATGTTTAAGACTTTGTCAGTAGAATTTTTATTCCCATAGAGTGCAATGAAAGTCTAGAGCAGATAAAAATGTTGCTCGCGGATTACGTATATTGCAGTTTAAATATACATTGAGTTTTATTAAACGGTATTAGAATCTACATCATTTATGTTAACGTTATCCATTACTTCATTGTGCTATCTAGTGTACATCGTCATTTAAATAGATATTTAGAGCAGTTAAAAAAATGGCATAAATTCATTTTGTATGTTGAAGTACATCAAGACATCGCAGTTCTGTAATACGGTAATTGTCTCTACATTCGATGTGACGTAGAATAAGTGCTCGAACTAGACTACGTTCCGCGTAGAAATAGAGACGAGGGCGTACAAAGCACACGCGAACGTTGCAAATCTAATATATCGAAAGCGACAGTGGCGCGCTCACGCTCATTTCGCGCATTGGGCCACTTTGAGCGTGCCGCGGCGGCAGATTGGCAATCGCTAGGCCAATTTGCGCGGATTCGCCCGCGATTCGATTTGACGCCCGCCGCCGGAATCGAGGGCCAGGCGCGGAAGTCTCGAGCTGATCGGAGCACGATCCTCGTTAACGTCGTACAGCACGTCGGCAGAGTCGCGTGGATTAATGTACTAAATTGAAACGTACTCATAAAAAACACTGTAACGATAATGTAAATAATATCTCAAAGGAAATCTCGTTGACCGTGGCGAAATTCAAATTTCGGTCCACTGATGTCTGGTGACCGATTTAGGTAACCATTTGTACTATCCTACAGTTTGGTTTAAAGATGCACGAACCGTAAACTATTAACAGATTACTGTTAAATATTACAAAACATTGTCTTAAATATGTCAGATCGTACCCTATTTTCAAAAGAATAGCATAATGTAACGCCTAAGATAAAACGTAAAGTTCTGCGGCTTTATGTGTCTCAAACACGTTGCAAAACTACCATTAGTTGCTATGAATTAAATTTCGCTTTAGATTCAAAACGAACCAACTCCTGTTTACATATTACGGGGGTATTCCCTGGATTTTTGTCTCGTAACGTTTAATATTAAATTCCTGACATTCAAAACAAATCAGCATCCAGTTCACAGACTACGTGTCTGACGTTCTAAAACTATTGGATCTGAGCTATTGACATGTTTTTGATCCATTTAAATGCAATTCAATCGTCAGGCTGAGTGATACGAACTTTATCTACTTATTCTACTTTATGTACTGTAAGCTAAAATTAATTCGCACACCTTTCCGAATTTTCTCTCCTGTCATATGTTTTTTTTTGTTGTTACGACGACCTCAGAAGGTTGTCGGAGGGACGCGTACGTCTGCAAATCGAATATTCCACGAGCGCGCCGCCGTAGGATTGCCTTGTTGGGCCCAAATTGCCAATTTCTTTTACTCGCAGCGTTAATTGTATGGATCCTCGCAAGGCCGCGGTTGTCTGACGTTTTAAATTACGCGTTCTTTTTTTTAAATTTACTCGATTTATTGACGCGTTGGTATTCGGCATGCGATTTTTAGCACATATTTTCATCGATAAATAGATACTTAAACAATATTTTACGATACGAAAATTTTGCACGACGCGTCTAGTACCATATAGTTTCTTTATAACAAATCTCTATTAAATGACGCTTGTCTGCTATTTGTGGGATAGCACTGATATTTACGTTTATTAATCGTAACTATTATTCTTAACAATACACTTAGTATTCTGTAAAATCTTGTAATTAACAAAATTATCAAACAAATTACTTAATATAATGCTAATACATAAAATACAAACACTATTCTAATTCACTATTCTAGGTCACGCACATTTTTAGGCTTCACTTTTCTTTAGTCTTTGGGTATATATACATACTCGGTTCTAGAAAACGTGAACCGTAAAAGCTATTTAAGCTATTCACTCCATATTATAAACACTTTATAAACTATAAACTTCATATATTGTTTATAGATAAATGAGTTTACCTGAATAAAATTGTCGGACCGCTACGTACATGAAACAAACAAAAATAACACAATTAAAAAATTTGTTAGAAATAAATTGTATTAACCAAAAGTCTAAATTGTACAAAGCAGTACAAAATAGTTGTAATTGGTACTCCATGAGAACTATTTATTATTTTTATCCATTCTTAAATTTTATGTCTACATCACTACATAGTATAAAACAAAGTCGTCCCGGTGTCTGTCTGTCCGTTATGTTCTGTATGTATGCTTAGATCTTTAAAACTACGCAACGGATCCTGATGCGGTTTTCTTTAGATAGAGTGATTCAAGAGGAAGGTTTATATATATAAAACTTTGCTCCCGTGCGAAGACGGGGCGGGTCGCTAGTACATATATTAATTAAGATAGTGACAAGTGAAAGATCCACCACTTTGTGAATATAATTTTTTGTTTTTCTTTCGAAAATATGCAGGTCCTAATTCCGTTGGTGCCGGCACCGGGATTTTAACCCAGGTTGCTCGAGTACATTGAACTAAAGGTCTTCGCCCGCACACTGAGCTATCACGTTATTACAGAAAAACTAAATAAAGTAAAAAACTAAAAAAAAAGAACTCGGAAAGATTAAGAGATAAGTGACTAACCGAAACACGATGGTCACTGAAAACGTTCTTAAAGTGAGCGGGGGGCACACCGAGAGCGAAGAAGAGAAGCGGTACCTTCTCGTTTCTGGCGGGCTGCAAAAAACCACGGAAAACGAGTGTGCCGCAATCGCGGGGGATCACGTTACCCGCCTTGTTCCCACAGCGGCGGTGGTGTTAACAAAAATAGAGCAAGACTCGGACAAAGACGCGCGCCGAAGCAGCACCGGTGGCTCATTGTGGCGCGATATTGTGATCTCGGGGGCTTTTGTTTCGCCCCGGCCGCGGCGGGCGCTCGGACGGCCGGGCCCTGCGCCCCCGCGTTTTACACCGCGACTTCGTACCGACGTAGAGACGTGCCAGATATGTTGATAACATCATAAGTAATAAATCGGAGGACCCCACAGAAGTGTGGCATTAGATATGTTGTTAACTTCATTAGCAAGAAATCGGAGGACCCGACAGAAGTGTGGCTATTAGATATGTTGCTAACTTCATAAGTAAGAAATTGGAGGACCCAACAGGAATGTGTTATTAGATATGTTGCTAACTTCATTAGTAAAAAATCAGAAAACCCGAAAGAGGTGTGACTATCAACAATACATCGCTAACTTCATAAGTAAGAAATCGGAGGTCCCGAAAGAATTGCTATTATATTCTGGGGAAGGCCTATGTTCAGCATGACGTTTATTCCGATTCCGGGTGCTAATGTTGACTTTGTTAAAATAGTCCACTGGTGCTAGTCATTTTTTTAAACATCAAAATGATACGAGTGTTGTGATAGTTAGGATATCGATTGCGCGAAATAATATGGACGAAGAAAATTCAAAGTGGAAATGGTTTGCGCGGGTTAGCCAAGATCTGTAACTCATAGTTGATTTAAAGGGTGCGATTTCACTGTCCAGCAATATGCACCAATGACTTTGTTTTTTATTAGTTAACAACACAAGTCACTGTCTGACATTCCTTTTCCAAGGGCTTACTCTGTGACTGATTAAAGCAATCTGAAATTAGGATAACTACCTTTTTAGTCAGAAAAAAATACTTGTTCTGTATCTTGTGAATCGTAATAATACAGACTCAAGTGCATAACTTGGTATAAAAAAGTAAAGTAAAGTATCAGCCTATACCTACATATCCCACTGCTGGGCAAAGGCCTCCTCTGTACAGAGGGTATCACCGTCCACCACGCAGCCCCACTGCGGATTGGCAGACTTCACATATCTTTATAATAATTTTTTTTGTTATTATTTCGAAAATATGCAGGTCTCCTCATGATGTTTTACTTCATCGCTGAGCACGATAATTCAGCACTTAAAATTTACCATTTCATTGGTGCTGGCACCGGGGATCTAACTCAGGTTGCTCGAGTATATAGAATTATAGGCGAGCGCCCGGACACTGAGCTATCACGGCTCTCAATAGAATACACAATAATATAAATTTTAATCGCATCTGATATGGTAAACTTGGCTAGAAAAATAAAAAATGTTGTTCAAATCAATTTTTATAACATCTATGTATTCATTTCATACACACACTTACATAGACATTATAATGCTTTGAAAAGATATTTTAGTCCAAGAGAGAAAATTACATAAATTAGTGTTAAAGTTATTTAACATAGAAATGATTATTAAAATCACATTTTTGATATAAATATTTTAAGGAAAATAACAGAATTGCGTTAATTTGTCTAAAAGATAAAATTTGACAGTGAGAATATTTATAAAAAAAAAGCTACCGGAAACACTCTAACTGTCTCTATTTTCTAATTTAGTAAAAATGCAGTAGTCTAAGCAAGTCGTAAAAATACTCAATGGAACCTATTCAATTATGTCATATTTTACACCCCCCCATAGCGTAGAAGTGAACTCTCCATAGTTTTTGAATAGTCCTGTGCAAACTTATAACAGAAGGCGGTCTTACTTATCTGTACATCTAAAATATTTGCTTCATACCAACATGGGGGAAATAACGTAAATGTTTTCGGAACCTGCTGGTATTGAGATAATTCGCATATAGGTGAAATTTAAATTGATTAGATAATCATTATGATTATTTAAGAGTTGAGTAAATTTGAAGTTAACAAGAAAATTATTTAATTAAAATTTTATTGTTTACACCTTAAGACTAAACAAAAGGCAAACTTAATGCTAATAAGCATTCTATTCCAGTCAACCTTGGGAGTAGAGAAAATTTGACGCAGGTGCAAGACAAAATACGCGAAATAAATTAAAGAAAAATAAATAAAAGAAAACAAAAAAAAGCAAACCTACATTCAATAGAAATATACTTTAGCTTAACTTAGCTTGACCAATTTAAATGTAAAATTAAAAATCAACTAAATATTAAATCATCTTATACCATTTCGGAATATCTCGTCGACGCCAATGTGTGGAGTTAATACTGTTGATACTCACGTAGGCTAGAATAAGACTATTATACCTGTACTAGCTGCTGCCCGCGACTACGTCTGCGTAGAGGGGTGAAAATTTAGTGTTGTATGTATTTTTGTACGCTGTATCATAAAAAAATAAAAACAAAAAATTTTGTCCAAAAATTTAAAAAAAATGCTAATTGTGAACAACCCTTATCCCTTAGGGGTATAAAAAAAGATAGTAGCCGATTCTCAGACCTACTGAATATGCATATAAAATTTGGTAAAAATCAGGAAAGCCGTTTCGGAGGAGTTCAAGTTCGAACCCCGTGACACGAGAATTTTATAAATTAGATATTATATTGTACCCTGATATTTTTAAAAAGAGCAACTGATGAGTTTCTTGCCGGTCTCTTCTCAACAGAAACTGCTTTCCGAACCGGTGGTACCTTACAAACCTATATACATAATCTTTGATGTAAAATTTGACGATTCATAAGAGCGCGCAAGCGTCTATAGATACTTATCCGGACAAGCCTGAGCATTCGTGTAACAGCCGAAGCTACTGCGTGGCCAACCAACCAATTAACTCAATAAGTATACTTATAAATTTAAATTAGGTGGCTCACTGACGCTTTCATGCTACTCTTTCTATCGTGAGATTTAACAAACAAAAGCTACTAGACATTCACGTCAATATAGCACATTACAAAACAGAAGTTGAAACGTTAATGAGAAAATATAAAAAAGTAAAGTAACAGCCTTATTATATGTCCCACTACTGGGCAAAGGCCTACTTTGTACAGTGGGTATTGGGGCATAGTCCACCATGTGATCCCACTGTAGATTGGCGGACTTCACTTATGTTCGGAATATTTCTTTTGTTATTATTTCGAATATATATATACAGGTTTCTTCACGATGTTACCGCTGAGCTAATAAGTTAATTCAGTACTTAGTTAATTTCATTTGTGCCGGCCCCGTGATTTGAACTTAGGTTGCTTGAGTATATTGAATTAAAAGCGAGCGCCGGCACTTAGACATCACGGCTCAAAAATATAAATGAGACCTAATTGTCAACCAAACCTCTGTTTAACGCTTGTTTATCCAAATGACAAATAACATTCGCTTAGCCACCAAGGTTGCGTAACCTAACAATGCAATCGATTACCTCAATAAGAATGAAGAGTAATGAGTTGTTTTCAATTTAATCGTAGCGAGTGCAAACGCCTAAGTGAATTGTATTAATTAACGAATAATGTATTAAGCAATATAACAAGCAGACGCGTGTCCCGTCGACACAATACGGCACAATTAGCGCGTGTTTGCTCGCCTGTTTGGCGGCAAACACAGATCGTGACGCATGGCGAAACAAAATGGCGGACGATTACTTAATGGCTGCAAGGAGCCACTATTTATTCTAACTTGAGCATATGTATTTACCAACTTCGGGCTGTCTTAAAATATTTATATAACACATCTTCTATAAACTTAAACTGAATTATTGCAAAGTATAATACGTTGTTCAAAAATAATTACAAGGAAACCCATTAACTTATCCCATTGTTTCAATCCGTTAAAACTCTTTTAAATCATTTCTAAAAATAATTCGTTGGTTTGTAGTGATAATTAACTTACATGTTTGAATAGAAAATATGATGTTCTAATTACTCATTACGCAGTATTAAGATATTTGTGTATTCTAAAGTTACATTATTAGAAGCCGATACAATATAATATAAAAAGGGTAGTAAATTGTATAAAAAGTTTTACAGAATCTAACATCTGCCAATTTTTGCAAATACCACACAAGAGTAATTATTGTTAAAGTATGAAAAGAGTAAAATCTTTAATCTATGACAGGCTTATATGGTGATCGGTTAGATATTAAAAACACCTCAAAGGCCTCATCGTATCTTATAAGGGTTCCGTACCCAAAGGGTAAAACAGAGCCCTGTTGCTAAGACAGACAGACTCTCTGTCTATCTGTATGTCTGTCCGTCCGTCACCAGGCTGTATCTCATAAACCGTGTTAGTTAGACAGTTGAAATTTTCACAGATAATGTATTTCTGTTGCCGCTATAACAACAAATACTAAAAAAAGGAAAAAATTCAAGTGGGGCTCACTAACAATAGAAATAATTATTTTGGGGTTTTTCTTGATAATGGTACGGAACCCTTGGTGCGGGAGTCCGACTCGCACTTGGCCGGTTTTTATATAAATATTACACCACCCTTTGATCGCGACTTCCTCGCCAAGTATATCGAAAAGGTAACAACTTTCAAAGCATCTTACTCACATCTGAGGCTTGAATTTAAAAAAAAATGTTGATCCCACATGTTTATAAACCACCAGTCCAACCAATTCCACTTAAACTTATTTAAATTTTTCTTGCTCTTACATTATTTGTGTGACCGACACAGATTCGTTCCAGATCTGATTGCTTATGCAATAAAAAATCGAGAACCGCTTTACAACACGGGCTAATGTTATCGCAAGAAAGTTGCCCGCTCTCAGTTATGACTTAATCAAACATCAACAAAGGTCATTTGCATAAACCACAAATATCTGATTAAATATCTGAAACTGACCTTCGAAAAATCTTGACAGGGTGCAAGAAAAAAGCGAAAGGGCTTAATTGTCAATTAAAATCTCGAAGACTAAGTACATGGTTGTGTCCCGAAACCGTTGTGGAAGCCAAGATTAGCAGTAGTTGGCAGGTACTTAAAGCGAGTCCAGCAATACAAATAACTCGGCGCTTGGGTGAATGAAGCATGGGATTCTGATCAAGAAATTAGAGCCTGGATTGAAATTGCCCGAGCGTCATTTGACTAGATGAGGATAGTCTTACGCTCCAGAAGCGTTAAAATGCAACTCAGAAAACGGGTCCTCTAGAGCTATATATGAACCATTGTACTCTATCGAAGCGAAGGATAGACTATCAAAGACGACATAAGATGTTGTCTCCTTCGAGGTGTAGTGTTAGTT